GTCCCTGTGCATTGCCAAGCTTGTTTCAAGTAGGTGCTTTAGACCACTGAGCCATCTCTCCAGCCCCAATGTTAGCATTTTAAAGTTACATTTTAATTTTTCAAAATATTTAGAAGTAAAATTAGAACAAAGTAAGAAATATCTTCATCCTGTACATGCTCCTCTCAGATTTAAAGAAGTTGAAAATCTATCCATTATAACAGGCTGAAAGAATCTGGAGAGTAAGATATTAGGTGAAAAAAGGAAAAGGTCTCCCCCAAGCCTACAGATACCTAGAAACTAGACGATCATGAACCTGACAATATAAATTTGTAATAAGAAACCCAGTAACTCATATGTCTGGAAACATGGTTCACCATATCATTTCTAACATCACTGCATACCCAGGATTCTAATACTACATTTTAGTGGCAAACTTTGGAATATAAATACTTTAAAAATAATGAAATATACTAATAAATAACTATATTTTGATCTTTGTGAATTAAATCCTACATTGTATCAGATACTTTGCTAAAAGTGTGGCAGGTATTATTTTATCCTCAGAGCAGCTTTATGAAATTTTAGAGAAAAGAAACAGGCAATGATAGAAGGAAAAATTAAAACCATAAGAGCCTGAAAAGGCACTTCCTGTCACAGCTGTCAACAGGAAAGGTTTGCACAAAAGGAAAATTCACACAATTGGAAAACAGCAAACGGCCCAGGGAGATGGCTCAGTAGAATAAGCACTTACCTGGCAAGTGCAAGGGTCTGAGTTCAAATCCCTGGTTCCATCAAAAAAAAAAAAAAGAAAGAAAAAGAAACAGCAAGGGCAAAAGAAGAGCCAGTGAGGACAGATGACACTCGATGGACAAAATGGTAGATAGGAAATTTTATAAAGTTCGCTTTCTCTAACACTTCACTGCAATTATGTCTTATTTTCTAAATATATTTTATTTTCCAGTTGCATTTTATTTTATCAAAAATTATTTTGCCTACTTCCATTTTTAAAAATTGGGCTAATCCTAAGCTTTGTTTTTACAAAGGTTTGTCTTAGGGCAAACTGCATTTTTCTGTAGTGTCCATTTCACTCAATAATACTGGGAAGAATTCATTCTTACATTGAGATAAACATTTTACCTTCCACATGCTGAAGTAACTATAGTTTTTTCTTTTTCTTTCTTTCTTTTTTTTTTTTTTTTTTTTTTTTTGCAGAACCGGGGATTGAACTCAGGCCCTTGTGCTTGCCAGGGAAGCACTTATTCTGCTGAACCATCTCCCTGGCCCCCTTTTTTTTGTATTTTGTGCAGGGTCTCACTATGCAGCTCTGACTCTCAATGATCCTCCTGTTTTCAGTCTCCCCAGTACTGGGATTACAGGCTTGTGTCACCATACCAGTTGCCAGCTCAACACAACTGGGGGCTGGGACAGGGCTAGCACAACATGTGGTGCCAGGGACAGAATCCCCACCTCTGTGCTTGCCTAAGCAGGAGCTTAGTCCACTGAGCTATCTCGCCGGCCAACTATAGTTAATTTTGAAAATATAGTATTGAGGGCAACCCACTTGGGTCCCCCTTCTATCCCTCTCTCTCAGGTAGGAGCTCTCCTTTTTTTGCTTTTTTTTTTTTTTTTTTTTTTTT